GCAGGGCAGTGATTCTTCTGCTGGACTGGGCACTGGTGAGGCCACCCCTGGAGTGCTGTGTCCAGCTCTGGGCCCCTCAATTCAGGGAGAACCTTGAGGGGCTGCAGTGGGTGGAGAGCAGGGCACTGGAGCTGGGCAAGGGTCTGCAGTGCATGGCCTGTGAGGAGCAGCTGAGGGAGCTGGGCTTCTCCAGCCTGGAGAAGAGGAGGCTCGGGGCTGACCTTCTCCCTGTCCACAACTTCCTGACAGGAGGCTGGAGCCAGGTGGGGGTCAGCCCCTTCTCCGAGGCAACAGGCGACAGGACAAGAGGACACGAGGACCTGCCTGTCAGGGGCTGTTTGTCAGGGCCAGGAGCAGGACTTTTTGGAGAGAAACAGGGATTAGGTATTGAAATGGGCTGCCCAGGGAGGTGGTGGAGTCCGCGTCCCTGGAGGTGTTTAAGCAAAGCCTGGCCATGGCACTGAGTGCCGTGGTCTGCTTGACGGGCTGGGGATGGGGCGTAGGCTGGACCCCGGCTGATCTCCCAAGTCTCTGCCAAGCTCAGGGACTCTGGGCTTCTGTGCCAGCCCAGCCTTTGGGGACAGCGTGCTGGTGGCTCCGAGGCTCCGTCCTTGCCTTGCCTTGCCCATCTCCTGGCTGCCAGGCAAGGGCCTTGTGACATCACAGCCTCTGTGGAACAGCGCGGGGGCTGAAAACTGTCAGTGCTGCGTCCCCGTGCCCAGAGCCTGGGCAGAAGTCGGCTGGCAGGGACGGGCAGAGACTGTGCAGAGGTGTCAGCTCGTCCCGCAGCAGCACGATGCCCAGCCAGGGCATCTCCTGGCTCCTCAGGCTCTCGCTGCTCCTGCTCTTGCCTGGCCCACTCGAGCCTTGCAGCCGTGCCACAGGTGCCATTGCTGAGAACCGGGTTTTCCTTGGATGGCCCCTTGCCAGCAAAGGCAGGAGAGGCTGGAGAGAGGGGAAGGAGGGGGGTCAGGCCGCTGGGATGGTGCCGGCGGGCCGTGAGCCCGAAGCCAGCAAGGCCTTGGGCCCACACGGTGTCAGGGGAGGACTGAGAGCCCCCAGGGAGGAGGAAAGCTGGGCAGGCCCCAAGGCTGCTGGGCCTCTTCCTTGCCAGCCCTTTGGCCAAGGCCCCGAGGCAGAGGTGGGGCTCAGCCCCTGCCCAGCAATGGGGCACAGGCTGAGCCCCAGGGACACCAGAGCCAGGCGGCCTGAGCTCTTCTTCCTGCAGCGTCTGCCTGGGGCAGCCCAGCCAGGCCTGAGTCTCTGCAGGAGAGGCCAAGCCCAGCCAGAGAGGGCTCAGCCCTCTGAGGCTGCACTCACTGCAAAGGGAACAAAACATTGGCCCAGAGGACATCCTGCCCCCAAATGGAGAACTGGAAAGGTCAAGAATAAAAAAGTCACCCCCCTCCATTAGTCAAGAAATGTTCAGACCTCTTTCCTAAAAGCATCCAGGACTCAGGTCACCCAATTTTCTCTCTGAGAAGGGTTTTCCATGGTTCCCCTCAATTCCCAGGTTCAAAGGGGTCCCAGCACACTTTGGGATGTGTTGGATGCTGTGTTGGGGTGCAGATGTCCCCCCAAAGCTCTCCCAGAACAGGGTGACACAAGGGGGGGGCACAGAGGGGTCCCCATTCCTGATCCATCCTGGAGCAACCACACTGGGGGCAACTGGGATCAGAGTGGGAGCAGCTGGGCCCCTGCTGGACTCATACTGGGATCATCCTGGGAGTGACTGCAATATTACTGGGAGTATGTGAGAGGCACTGCAACCATACTGGGATGACTGGGATCAAACTGGATTCGTACTGGAAGTGTCTCCAAGTTCCTGGGATCATACCGGGGGTGACTGGACTCATAGTGGGATCATCCTGGGAGCAACTGGGACCATGCAGGGGCAAATGGCCTCCTCCAGGCAGTGACTGAAAGTGCCTGGGGCCAGACTGGACTCAGACTGGGAGTCCCTGAGAGGGAAAGGAAACATCGTGGGGGGGACTGGGAGCAACTGGGACCACCTTGAGGGCAACTGGGATCCTATTGGGAGTGACTGGAAGTGACTGGGCCAGCAGCCGCTGCTGGCGGGGCCCGGCAGGCCTTGGCTGGGGGGAGCCGGGCGGCCTCTGTGCGTCCCGCGCTGGGGAGGGGACAGGAGAGGCAGCACAGTCAGGGCAGGGCTGCCTTGAGTCAATCCTCTGCTGCTTTACAATCTACTCCAAATTCTTTGTATTTCTTTGGGGGAACTTTGTTCAACTCAGCTCTGTGCTGCTCAGCGAGAGCACTTTCCTTGACCGGGCAGGAATTCTCACCCTCCCCATTGCTCTCAGCCTGAACCCTGGACAGCTCTGAGGTCCCAAAGGGCTCCCTGTGCCCCAGTGCAGACTCAGGAGAGCTGCTCTGCCCACAAGTGACCTGCTGCTCAGCACACAGGTTCCCTGTGCTATTTGCACCTCTCTCTTGGTGGATGATCCACTTCAAAGATGCCTGGAAAAAAAGTGGGGTTTTGTGAAGACTCCACTTGCAAAATCAATTTTTCCCAACTCTTCCCTCTTTCCCTGTGCAGCTGAGCAGAGGGCGATGCAGAGGAGTGCTCAGGCTCTGCTGCCTGGAGCTGTCCCTGCCAGCAGCTGCTTCCCTGTGCCCAGGGCTGGGCCCTGGCAGTGCATCCAGAGCCCAGCCCAGCCCTGGGTGCTCAGCTCTGCCCTGCAGAGCCCTCCCAGCACAGGGCACTCTGGTGCCCAGGGGCACCTCTGGCTGGGCAGGCTCTGATGGTAACGTCAGAGCAACCCTGAGGAGGCTGGAAAAGCACCACTGCTGCTGCCTGTGAGGCCCAGGGGGCTGATTTCTGACACTCCCTGCGCCATTGCCCTCAAAGAAGAACAGCTTTGGGTTTTCCATGCTTCCTCCTGAATGGAGACATGAATTGATCTTTCTCATTGCCCGTCCCTGGGACCCTGAAGCAGAACACTGGAAGTACAGGATCCTTCCCTTTCAGGATGGCCCTGCCTTGCTGCATTTCCTGAAAATTCCTCTTAGAAAGCCCCAGCAGTCATTTGGAGCTGTGATCATTCCTGACATGTGCTGCACCGTCTCGACAGCAGAAGGGCCCTGCCCTGCCTTCCCCTGTCAACTGGGGTTTGCTCCTTGCCCACAGCCCTTCTCCCCCAGCCCTGGAGCAGCTCCCTGGGCCAGCTGAGAGCTGCCCCTGGCAGGCAGCAGAGTCCCTGCCCAGCAGTGCCCTGGGCTGCAGGACCCTGCTCTGCCCCACAGCCCTGGGCACCCCTGGTTGCACCCCCGGCTTCACAGCTCTGTCAAAGTGCTCCCCAACAGCCCCCTCCTCACCCATCCCATCGGCTGGGGCTGGGCCAGCTTTAGGAGATGCCTCCAGGAGCTGCCCCTGCACTGCCCTGCAGCCCCAGACTGCCCGTGTGCAGCCCTGCCAAGATTCCTCCTGCAGGGAGCTCTCAGCCATCCTGCCAGTGCTGAGCCCCTTGAAGCTCTGTCTGTGCCCTGCTGGTGTCCCTGAGCTGCCCTGGCAGTGCCCTCAGCCCTGCTGGGCTGTGCAGAGGAGCTGCTCCTGGGCAGAGCTGTCTCTCTGCAGCGCTGCCCGCTTGCCAGGAGCTCCCTGTGTGCCAGGAGCCTGGCCCAGCTCAGCAGCACAGACACAGCCCCAGGCACTGAATGACCCTCGGGGGTTGGGGATGAGTCCCTGAACATCAGACAAAGAGCAAGTTAAAGAAACCTCTGAAGAATTCCAAGTCAGATCCAAGTCCACAGTTTCTCCTGGCGTTAATGGGTCCCACTGAGGGCCAGCACTCAGAAATTGTCCCCTGCTTCCAGTCAGAGCCGAAAACTGGAGGCAGTGATGACAGGTGGGGACAAGCAAAGTCCCGGGGTCTGTGATGCTGAATAAATCTGGCTTTGTTTTGTTCTTGCAAAGGGCCAAGGCCTGACCCCCAGCCCTGGGAAGGGAGATCCTGTGCCTGCCTCATTCCTCAGGGCTCTTGCTGGGGCTCTGGGATGTGGGGATGTGCAATGGCAAGGGCAGGAGCATGGGGCAGCACCTCTGTCTCAGTTGGATGAGACTGAAGTGTTTTGCTAAGGAGGATGAGTTATGAGGAAAACCAAACTCCTCCCTCTAAGCAACTGTAAATTGGAAATTAAGAGACTCCAGTTGAGGCAGTATGGAGAAAGGAAAAATAACAGCTCTTTCTTAAAGGATATCTGTGTATTGGCAGAACAACAAAAAGGGGAAAAAGTGGAAAAGGAGAAAAAGGGGCTCTTCCCACAAAACTCCCGCTGTCTGTGGCTGGCTGTGGCCGGGAATTCCCCCTTTTGGCCGATGAACACACGCCACTGCCAACACGGGAGCGCAGGAGGGAAAGGGTGACCTCCTCCCCAAAAGGTTCCTCTCTAGGAGGGTCAAACCTGTCCCATGAAGTCCGAGCAGGTCCGGGCTGGGGGCAGAACAGGGCACAGGAAACGAAGGCAAACGGGAACCAGCAAACAGCCAGATGAGCAGGCCGAGAACAAAAGGACCTCGGAGCCTCTCCAACACACCCCTTACCTGAGTTAAGGCCAAAGGGAAGGGCCTTGCCCTTTGCCCAGGAGAAAGCAAAAAACTCCACCCCCCCAGAGCCTTCTGAGGGCTCCCAACCTGCAATGTGGGCTGGGCCAGTTCTTTTGGGGGTGTGAGTCACCCAAGGCAAAGCCCCCTCCCCCATTGAACATCTTTCTTTTCCAGAGGGGCAGGGGAAAGAAAAATTCCTGCTTGGTTTTTTAGAAGAAGTAAAGCTGTGACAGGGATCCCCTCCCCCCTGCCCTCACTGCCCCCCAATAACAGGGACTGGGAGAACTGGGAAGCTTTACTGGGAACACTGGGAGCAGCTGGCTGGGGTCAGAATGAAAGCAGGGCTGGGGGGGACACACGACCCCCCAAACTCAGCGTGGGGCTGGACTGGGGGGTCCTGGCTGGGCCACGGGGAGGGGCTGCGGCCACCAGTGGCTCAGGAGCTCTGTGGGGAGAGAAAAGGGGGTGAGAGCAGGGTGGTGGACAGGGGGGGCACAAAGGCTGCGGCCAAGGGGGGGGACATGACCCCCGGGGCCCCTCCTTTACCTTCTCCCGCAGGTAGAAGCCGAGCCCCAGCGCCAGGAAGACCAAGCCCAAGACGAAGCCCCCGACCCCCACCAGGATCTTGCTGCGGACGGTGTCCGGTGGCATCTCTGGGGGGAGCCGGGGGGTCAGCCCCCCCAAAACCTCCTCCCACGCACCACCCGGCACCCCACAGAGCCCGGCCCGCTCTCCCCCAGCCCACCCGGGGGTCCCTCAAACCTCCTGCCAGTCCCTTCCCAGCCCCTGCACGGATCCCACCCAGCCCCTCCCAGACCCTTTTAGGACCCTCCAACCCCCCTCCCAGCACCCCCAGCACCCCCCAAACTCCCTCCCACTCGCCCCCAGTGTGCCCCCGGTGCTGGGTGGGCCGGGCCGTACCCCAGTGCCGGCTGAGGGGGTGCTCCAGGCTGACGTGCTCCACCTGGCAGCTGTAGGTGACCCCGCGCCGGGGGGGGATTTCCAGCAGCACCAGCACCTGGTAGCTCCAGTCCCCGTTGGGGACCACATCGGTGGCCACCACGTGCTCCGGCAGCTCCTGCCCATCCTGGAACCACCTCACCTGCACCGGCGCAGGGTAGAAATCCATCACGGAGCAGAGCAGGCGGCCGGGGCCGGGCTGGGAGCTCGACGGCACCAGCGAGATGGACACGCTGGGGGGCACTGGGAGGGACGGGGGAGACACTGGGCTGAGCTGGGGGGCACTGGGAGGGAGGGGAGAGGGCTTGGAGGGCGTTGGGAGGGACTGGGATGGCAGTGGGAGGGACTGGGATGGCAGTGGGAGGGAGTGGGAATAGAGTGGGGGAGAATGGGCTGGGCTGTGGGGGCACTGGGGAGAGAGTTGGGAGATGTGGGAGTGAAGTGAGAACGACTGGGAATGTACTGAGAGGGTCTGGGAGTGGAGTGAGTGGGTCTGGGAGTGGAATGAGAGGGACTGGGAGTGACTGGTGTGGACTGGGAGTGACTGGTGTGGACTGGGAAGGAAGCGATCGGGACTGGGAGGCTGAGTGGTGGTGAGGGAAGTCTTTGTTTTGGGTCTGCCTGGCAACTGGAGCGTCATAAGAGAGACGCTCTGGGATTGGCTGAGGGGTGGGAGTTCGGTGGGCCCAGCGGGGTGGAGACGCGGGGGGGCACGGGGAGAGACTGGGATGGACTGGGAGAGATTAGGGGGCATTGGAAGGACTGGGAGAGACTGGGACAGACTGGGAGGAACTGGGAGTGGGGAAAAGGCAAGGGGATGGGCACAGGGAGAGCTGAGGGGTCTGGGGTGATTCCCAGGGAGGGTTTGAGGGGCTCCAGGGCCATTCCTCGGGCAGGGGCCGAGGGGACCCGCTCTGCCCCACGCTCACCTCTGCGGTTCACAGTTAACGGGATGAACACCTCGTAGTTGTGGCGGCAGTGTGTGTCCACTGCAGACCGTCTGAGGTCCAGCAATTCCGGGTCGCTGTTCAAGCGCCTGGCATTGATCTCCCCAAACAGGGTGTCCCCCACAAACGCCCCCACATCGCTGTCAAAGTGCATGAACTGCTCCCGGTTGTAGATGTACCTCTCCACGTACCTCACCCGCTCGGTGCCGTTGATGAAGTGACACTCACCCGGAGACGATAACACGAACACCCCTGTGTGTGCAGGACACGGGTCAGGAGGTGCCCCGTCCCCCCCCATCATCCCCCAGCCCCCCACAGCAGGGTGGGAGCTCAGGGGGCCACCCCGGACCCGCCTTTCCCACCCCCCTCTGCCCCACGGACACCCCAGCACCGGCTCTTGGCTGGGGGGGAGCCCCCCCATCAGCCCCCCGGGCATGGACAGGGGGGTTGGGGAACCCCTAATGCCCATCCCACCCCCCCAGAGCCCCAGGGAACCGCTCCAGGGCTGAAGGGACACCCAGGGACCCCCAGGGCACCCCTCTTCCTGCTCTTCCACACCCACTTGCCCCCCTCTCCCACCCCTTTCCCACCGGCCCCACAATCCCCACGCCCCCCCAACCTCACTTTGGGGGTCCCACCACCCTCCCACTCACTCCGGGCCTTCCCACCCCCCTCGCACTCACTTTTTTGGGGCTCCCACCCCCTCGTTTCTCCCCTCTTTCCCCCCTTCCCGCCCCCCCCCGCTCACCCGACAGCTCCTCGCCCGCAGCCGGGGGGGCTCCCAGCACCACCAGCACCGCCAGCACGGCCCCAGCTCCCCGCACACGCTCCATGCCCAGCGCCGGACAGCTGCTGACAGCCCAAAACCAGCCGAGTGGCGCCGTTTTGGGGGTTTTTGGGCGCGCTCGGATTGGCTGAGGGCAAAGCCCGGCGCCGGTTTCGGGCCGTGTTGGAGCCTGTTCTTCCCGGCGACTGATGAGTCATCAGCGGGGCGCGCTGGGATTGGGCGCGGGCGGCGTGGGCGCTTCGGGATTGGCTGAGGGCTGTTGGGGGCGTGTCTAAGCCCCTCTTTTCCGATATTTTGGGGTCTGGGAATGATCTAACCCCCCTGTCCCTGGGATTTTTACGGTCTAGGAGAGCCCATACTCCCGTGTTCTTAAGATTTTTGGGGTCTGAATGTCCCCAACCCCCCTGTCCCAGTGTTTTTTAGATGCTGATGGTGCCCAAACTGCTCTTTTATAAGATTTGAGGAACTGGGAGTGCCCAACCCCCCCCGTTCGCACAAATTTAGGGGTCTAGGAGTAAATAACACCCTCTTTTCCAGGATTTTGTGGTTCTGGGACATCCCAACCCCTTATGTTCCTGGTTTATTGGGAGGCTAACATTGCCCAAACCCCCCTGTTCCGAGGATTTTCAGAGTCTGGGTGTGCCTAAACCACCTTTCTCCAGCATTTCGTGGGTCTGGGAGTGCCCAAACACAGAAGTTCTCAAGATTTTTAATGTCTGGGATGCCCAAACCCCCCTGTTTCCAGGAGTTTTAGGAGGATGGGAGTGTCTAAGCCCCTCTGTCCCAATATTTTGGGATCTGGGAGTGCCAAAACCCACTGTCCTGTGGATTATTAGGATCTAGGAGAGCCCATACCCCCGTGTTTCGCAGTATTTTTGCGGTCTGAATGTTCTAAACCCCCCTGTTCCTGTTTTTTTTTTAATTACTGATAGTGCCCAAACCCCTCTTTTCTATGATTTGAGAGTCTGGGAGTGCCCAAACCCTATTGGGTTTTGGGGGAGCTGCCTAAACCTCTGTGCTCTCAGAATTTTGGGGCTCTGGATGTGCCCAAACCTCTTTTCTTCATCATTTTCTAGTTCTGGGAGTGCCCAAACCCCCCAGTTCTCACAGTTTCTGGGGTCTGGAAGTACCTAAACCTCTCTTTTCCAGGATCTTCTGGACCTGGGAAAGCCCAAACCCCCCTGTTCATGGGGTTTTGAGAGGATCACATTTGTGCAACCCCCCCTTTCCCCTGGATTTCTGGAGTCCAAGAGTGTCCAAGGCCCTAATTTCCAATACTTTGGGGTCTGGGAGTGACCCAACCCACCTGATCCCGGGATGTTTTGGGTCTGGGAGTGCCCAAAGAACCTTTTCCCAAGATTTTGTTGGTCTGGGAGTGCCCAAACCACCCCATTCCCAGGATTTTTGGAACCCCCCCCCTCAACTTCTCCCCAACACCCAGGACTGCAGAGCACTGAGAAGCTTTACTGGGAACACTGGGAACAGCTGGTTAGTGTGGGAAAAAATCCAGGGAAGGGGGGGACAGGCGATCCCCCCAAATGAGCACAGGGTTTGGGGGGTCCCAGCTGAACCCGAGGCCACGGGGAGGGGCTGCGGCCGCCGGTGGCTCAGGAGCTCTGTGGGGAGAGAAAAGGGGGTGAGAGCAAAGGGGCTGGGGGGGCAGGGGGGGCCCAGAGGCTGTGGGAGAGCAAGGGGGGGGCCACGACCCCCATTTGGGGACCCCCCTTTACCTTCTCCCGCAGGTAGAAGCCGAGCCCCAGCGCCAGGAAGACCAACCCCCGACCCCCACCAGGATCTTGCTGCGGACGGTGTCTGGTGGCATCTCTGGGGGGAGCCGGGGGGGTCAGCACCCCCAAAACCTCCTCCCACGCACCCCCCGGCACCCCACAGAGCCCGGCCCGCTCTCCCCCAGCCCACCCGGGGGTCCCTGAAACCTTCTGCTAGTCCCTTCCCAGCCCCTGTAGGGATCCCACAAAGCCCATCCCAGACCCTTTAGGACCCTCCAACCCTCTCCCAGCACCCCCAGCACCCACCAAACTCCCTCCCAGTCGCCCCCAGTTGCCCCCCCGGTGCTGGGGGGGCTGGGCCGTACCCCAGTGCCGGCTGAGGGGGTGCTCCAGGCTGAAGTGCTCCACCTGGCAGCTGTAGGTGACCCCGCGCCGGGGGGGGATTTCCAGCAGCACCAGCACCTGGCAGCTCCAGTCCCCGGTGGGGACCACGTCGGTGGCCACCACGTGCTCCGGCAGCTCCTGCCCATCCTGGAACCACCTCACCTGCACCGGCGCAGGGTAGAAATCCATCCCGGAGCAGAGCAGGCGGCCGGGGCCGGGCTGGGAGCTGGACGGCACCAGCGAGATGGACACGCTGGGGGGCACTGGGAGGGACTGGGATGGCAGTGGGAGGGACTGGGAATAGAGTGGGGTAGAAGGGGATGGGCTAGGGGGTCACTGGGGAGAGAGTTGGGAGATGTGGGAGTGAAGTGAGAACGACTGGGAATGGACGGAGAGGGTCTGGGAGTGGAGGTAGAGGGACTGGGAATGACTGGGATTGACTGGGAATGACTGGTGTGGACTGGGAAGGAAGCTGGTGTCCCCAGCCAAGGCAGGAATCTCCACACACCCCCCAAGAAGGGTTCTGTTGGAAGAAGCTGCCCCTGGGAAAGGGGACTGGTCCTTTCTGGTAGAAACCCATGGACTGACAGTCCTTGGACTCCAGGGGTTCCCTCACCATCAGGGGCTTCATTTGGGGTCAAACCAGTCTGGGGTCCAACATCTCCTGCCTTGTCCCGGCCCCCTCTCAGCTCAGCACTGACCCCTTTGCAAATGGGGCATTGTCTTGGGGCCATTGCAGGAGGGATGTCCTGCCCCAGTGTCCCAGTGTTCCTTTAATTGCCAGAGGCCCTGCAGTGTCCCAGTGGCCCTTTGATTCCATGACCTTCTGAAACACCTCAGGGTTCCTTTGGTTCCATGAGGCCCCCATGTCACAAAGGCCCCTGGATTCCATGAATTCCGCAGTGTCACAAGGTTCCTTTTTTTCCATGGGGCCCTGCAGTGTCCCAATTGTGCCTTGACTCCAGGAGTATCCAAATTCTCCCAGGGTTCCTTTGGTTTCAGGAGGTCCCGCAGTGTCCCAGCGGCCCCTTCATTCCAGGCAGGCCCAGGGAGACGAAGGCAAAGACGGAGCCCCGACCCCCGTCAGCATCTTGGGGGGGCGGGGGGGCAGGACCCGGGAAACGGCGGCGGCTGCTGGGAAGGGACTGGGACGGACTGGGATGGACTGGGATGGACTGGGATGGATTGGGATGGATTGGGATGGACTGGGATGGACTGGAATGGACTGGGATGGACTGGGATGGACTGGGACACCGGGATACATCCAGAACCAGGACTGGGACCCAGCAGGACCTGCCGGGAGCAGGATCTGAGCACACTGGGACCCTCCAGGACCAGAACTGGGGCAACAGGGATCATACTGGGAGCAACTGGGACCACACTGAGGGCTACTGGGAGCAACTGGAGGCCACTTAGGATATAGTGGGAGAGCCCTGGAGTCACTGGGATCATATTGGTGGAAACTGGAATGTTACTGGGGCATCTGGGATTGCCTGGGAAGGACTACGAGCATGCTGAGGGCTCTACTGGGATATACTGGGAGTGTCTGCAACCATGGTGGGAGTGACTGGGACCATACTGGGAGTGACTGGGACTACGTGAAGGGGAATAAGGACCAGGTTGAGGGCAACTGGAAGGAACTGTGAGTGCCTGGATCTACAAGAGAAGCAACTGGGATTGAGTGGGACTGTCAGGAGGGAGGACTGGGATCATACTTGGAGTGACCGGATCTGTGCTAGGGGCAAGTGGGAGCAAGTGGGACCATGCTGGGGACAACTGGGATCATACTGGGATCACAGTGGGAGAAGCTTGGCCCATGCTGGGAGCAACTGAGACCACACTGAGGGTGACTGGGGTCATACTGGGATCATATCAAGAGTAAGTGGGATCATGCTGGAGGTGATTGGGATCATCCTGGGACTGACTGGGCCCTGAATCCGAAAAATCGGTCCGAGAAACTGCTCAGAGACTTTTTTCTCTTTAAGCAGCCAGGTATTTGTTTCTTCAACGTTGGGAGCAAGCCAGCTCGCGCTGGACAAACTTGCTCCAAGGCTTCACACAAAATCAGCATTTTTATACAATCTTCAGCTGGGATTAAATGCATATTCCAGTGATTCCAACATCTCTCTCTGCATATTAATAACAGGCGGAGTATAGGTGGAGCTCAGGCGGGGCTTGGGGCGGTGCTTCTCTTGGCCCTCAATCCTGAGGGGACTTCCACTCTTCCTCCATGGCTCTGGGGGCTTCAACTCCTCTTCCTCAGCTTGACCTTCCTTCTCTTCCATTGTTCTTGACCCGCTCCCTGAAGCTTGGAAAAAGCCCTGGCTCCCGGCCTATTCCTCCTCTTCCAATGTCTCCCTGATCCTGCTGTCTCTCTAATTTATCCCCTCTAGGCCTAGGACATGTTCCTGTACTATTCTCTGACGCTTTGCTCCAGTCAGTAGAACAGAACGAGCACAGATGGTCTTGGATGTTGGGAGCTTGTTAGCAGGCCCAAATTTCTTCGTGAACTCTTTTGGGCCTGGCCTCCTGTTTCACCAGGGACACAGCCCGGGCCCGGGGGTTCCCATTCCCATTCCACGGGTTTGCATTCCTGTTCCAGGTGTTCCCATCCCATTCTAGTTGTTCCCATCCCATTCCAGGTGTCCCCATTCCCATTCCAGGAGTTCCTATTCCCATTCCAGGAGTTCCCATTCCCATTCCAGGTGTTCCCATTCCCATTCCAGGTGTTCCAATTCCCATTCCACGTGTTCCAACTCCCATTCCAGGTGTTCCAATTCCCTTTCCAGGTGTTCCATCCCATTTTAGGTGTCCCCATTCCCATTCCTATTTTCCCTCCTCCCATTCCTGGTGTTCCCATCCCACCTCTGTTTTCCCCATTCCCATTCCAGGTGTCTCCATTCCCATTCCGCGTGTTCCCATTCCCATTCCATGAATTCCCATT